CACATTGGAGAACCCCAAATATTTTTGAAAAACACTGACTTGAGAAACTGAAGTCATTCTATATGAAGATCTCCCTATTACATTATTTTTTTCTACTGCAAAATAGAAGTTAGGGTTTTTGTTTTTAAACTGGTCGAGAACTTTTAAAAAGATAATCCTCTATAAAAATATGTATTCTTGCATTTAAAAGTCCCCATGGAACTCACCAGAGCTCGCAGCTTGAGAAACACAGGTTTTGATGTATTTCCCTAGCCGGGTGCTGGGCATCACATGTATGATAGAATTGAAAGCTTGAGTCAAAGACAGATAAATGGCCTCTATTGCTTGCTTCCGAGCTACGTATCCCATCATTCTGTCACGGAAGGAAATTAAAGTTGTCTGGCCAATACTGCATTGCCGACAGCCACGCCATTCCTTGTCAGGATCCTGTGTGTCTCTAGAAGTCGATGCACAAATATATTTTTTGAGGATTTGATCTACAGTCTTCATTTCAGGATTAGAGATAAGTAAACTAATCTTCGGTTATTAGGCTCTCACTTTGTCCCTTTAAAAAAAATAATAAAAGGAGCAGGACTTTTCCTACATCTTCCAGGAAATTATCTTCTAAGAATCTTAAAATGATATCCAGTGGCTCCACAACCCAATGTCTCCTAAGATGAATAACTGAAAGTACTTATAATGTCCAACCTGCTTTATTATTTATTTACTTAACAGTTTTCCATTTCTCAGTTGCTTTTTCACTCCTTTCAAATAGGTGGTACTCAATATAGAATCAATTTAACATTTATTTCTCTAAAATTGAGCATAGCAATTTTCCCTTAAGAACAAAACCCCACCATTAGATCACTTCTGCCTCTCTGAAACTTTAAGCATGATTTAAATATTATTTTTTATAATAGAGCATATATTTAAAAATCATCAGGCAAAAAACCTAGAAATGAATATCATATATTTTATAGAGAATTAGTCAAAATTCTCCCACCAAAAGGTAGTTTCTTAGGGTTATGTTCATTTTTTCTAAATTTCTAAAATTTCTTGGAAAATACGTTATTCTCTGTAAGTACCTTAACCAATAACATTGTGAAGCATTGGGCATACCAGTGTTAGAGAAACTATCTGAATAATCTGATTTTTTTCCGATCCCTTGTCAGAAAAGCAAAAATAGGTCTTTAAAAATATGGATTCTGCCCTAGCTAGTTTGGCTCAGTGGATAGAGAGTCTGCCTGTGGACTGAAGGGTCCCAGGTTCAATTCAATATATATTTAAAAATTATATATGGATTCTTCTTTTCATTTTCATATCACCTTATTTTTTATCTGAATTTAAGGTCCTTTGTATTTATATTTCTCCAGACACCACAACCAAAAACAAACAAACAAAAAACAAACACTAAAACAGAACGCTGTAGTAAATAAAATGTCACCAAATTCCCACTTACTCTGGGTAAACAATCAGCAGTGACCTCCAGCCCACCACTCAGATATGTTGCCTACACTTCAGGGTCCTCCCGTCTCCCTCCTTCCACTGGGACTCCAGAGGTTTCACCTGTTACAGAGCTGGTTCCGTGATTAATGTAAGGTTGCAATCCATGGACCTACTCTAAGTAAACAGCGAAGGCTAGAACAGACATATTTGTAAAGGACTTTATGCAAGTTGCAATGCTAGGTGTTCTGAGAGGGCAAGGCAGTCACTCCCTTTAAATAATTCACAGCATACTAAGTTTGAGGCACTCTGGCAAATACGTGGCTAACTATAATTTAAAATATAATCTGATAGACTCCAAAAGAGGTAGAAATAAAAGTGCTTTGAGGATTCAAAAGAGGGAATAAGCATATGAAGGGGGAGGGATTTGAAAGGTTTCTTGGACAAGGTAGATATTTGAGATGATCTTTGTTTAAGGATCATAATTTTAAAAGACTCTGGGGAGGATTTTGCCATCAAAGGGAAAGGCATGAAATAAGACAACGAAGGAACATTTAGGACATATGACTAGAATAGTAAAGAATCCTGTTTGGCTGGGTCTGGAACAGTAATTTGGGGTTCTATTATTTGGAGCCTCAAAAGTCAGGTTAAGGAGATTGGACCTTATCCCTCCACAAAGGGAAGTGGTCGAAAGGCATAGAGCAGGACTGATCAGAAGTTTGTGGGAACTAAGTGGGAGGAGGAGGAGCAGGGTTGAGATAAGCTCTAGTAACAAGAAACTGTGCCTGGGTGTGGATGACCAAGACTTGACCTTCCGCGGTGTTCCAGGTTACGGGGAGGGCAGAGATGGGCTAAAGGTAAACTGAGGCCACCAAAGACATCCTTTTTTGTTAGACCAGCAGCTCCCCTGCTTGTGAAGGTCAGGGCCTTCAAATTTTCACCTAAGAAATCAAGCAGCTAACATATTTCAGAATAAAAATTCCCCTTTCATGTGAAGCTGGTGTGTTTCTAAAGTCTTTCCTTTTGTTAAAAGGCTCAGGAAGGTTCAGACATGACAGAGCCAGAGCTGCAGCTGTGGGAGAGATGGCATTTAAAGGGCTGACGAGTGAGAGATGTCAGCGATGATCTCAGTGTCTATGCAGATAAAACGCTTTTTGGCTTTGTGACTAATCAAAAATCAGCTTGCCCAAAAGGGTATAAAGTTCAATACATTATCAAGTAAAGGCTTAATAAAATTCTGACACATGCTAAACCATGGATGAACCTTGAGGACATTATGCTAAATGAAATAAGCCAGTCACAAAGGAACAAATGCTGTAGGAGTCCACTTATGTGAGATACTTTAAAGAGTCAAATTCATCGAGAAAGAAAGTAGAACAGAAGTTACTATGGGCTGAAGGAAGGAAGAAGGAAGATTAGTGTTTAATGGGTGCAGAGTTTCAGCTGGGATGATAAAAAGTTCTGGAGATGGGTGGTGGTGATGGTTGCACAATAATGTGACTGTACCTAATGACACTAAACCAGGGGTGGGCAAACTTTTAGACTCGAGGGCCACAATGGGTTCTTAAACTGGACCAGAGGGCCGGAACAAAAGCATGGATGGAGCGTTTGTGTGAACTAATATAAATTCGAAGTAAACATCATTACATAAAAGGGTACGGTCTTTTTTTTTTTTAGTTTTATTCATTTCAAACGCGCCGGATCCGGCCCGCGGGCCGTAGTTTGCCCACGCTGCACTAAACTATACTCTCAAAAAATGTTAAAAATGGTAAAAACTCCTGTATGCATATTTTACTACAATAAAAAAACAGTAAATCCTCAATGAGGTCTGTATTATGGCTTTATAATACAAAATTCTAATTTACTAACTTTCAGGGAGAAAGCTCACACAATGTGCCCGATGGCATCATGCCTGCTGGTTGGCATTTGTACAGGGGCTTCTTTGTTCTACAGGAGTGAAATGATCTAAGAAGGCTGCTTAGTGAGTGAGGAATCAGAGCAAAGGAATTGGGTATGGCAATGGCTACCAGGAGAGAGGCAGTTCTGCCTGATGCTCTCAACTTCGTTATAGGAATATACCTGCCAAGGAGGCCTGAGTCTGCATCAGCCAGTCTGGGCACCCTTCCTCAAGACAGCATAGCCAACCACAGCTATTTTGCAAAACACAGTTCATCAGAGTGAAG